TACACACAGGAAGCAGACCACATACCCAAAGCGGCTACTCAGCTGCTCCGGTAGATTCCACCGTGGAGTTGATTACCAGCCGTACCGCGGGGAGTAAGTATGTATCCAGCTGCCCAGCCACTCAAGCAGGCCCAGCCAAGTGGTCAGACGAACTTCACCACCACAGCGTCTTCCCATCCTCCTCTCAGACTGTCCACAACAGCCGCCTCCCTCCTGCAGGTGTTCGGGACTCTGGAGCGAGCCAAGGAGGAGTACGGCCTGGACCACTACGAGGTCAGCCAGGTCTCCCTGGAGGACATCTTCCTGAGCTTTGCCTGCCCCGGGGGGCCGATGAGCGAGGCCCTCACCTAGCCCAGCTCTTCCTGCCGTGGGCGGGCAGGGAGGCAGGGCCGCTGCAATAAAGACTTGGGTGCTGGTCAGCCAGGTGATGGCCCACTACAGCTCCTGCCAGACCTCAGTGTGTGGGAGCCTGGGCTGGGACCCCGGCTCCTACCTGTGCCTGCACCTCACGGAGACCTGGTCACAGAAGGACCCTTGGAGGAAGTGCACCCTCTCTCATCTGAGAGGCCGTTTGTCCTCACGCTCCCCTCTGCACCCTGCACACTTGGGTTTCTCTCCCCTGCCCCTCAGGCCTTCCCTGAGCATCTCACAATCTAGAATGTTCCAGCAAGTCTTCAAGTGTTCCTGAAGCCTGGAGGGAAAGTGGCAGTGGGTGGGGGCCGGGGAATAACCTGCTTCCTGAGAAAGCACAGAGCAGGGACCCCCCAGCCAGCCTGTGGCCGAGCTGGCTGTGTGCAACCAGGGAGGCGGCCAGAGGGATCGACAGCTGAAGGCTGGGTGCGGACCGAGAGAGCGCCTTCCCTTCCTGGGAGGACTGGTAACAAAGTAACTGGTGCAGAAAACCTGCAAACAGTAACCCACAGGTGGGTGGATTGACACTGAGGAGGGGCCCTGGACCCAAGCTTCTCATCAGGACGGGGACCCCGGGGCAGGGGAGACCTCCAACTTCCAGGGCATCGTCACTCCGGGACCCGAGGCCTGTGCTCCCGATGCTGTTACTGTCTACTGTGCTTTCCGTGCTGAGGGCCGGCCTGAGGTGTGGCACCATGGCCCTTCAGCACAGGCCGAGTTCTCTGCAGGAGTCCAGTGATGGGCGGGAGGGAAGGACAGCTGACCGCTGGGGGGCGATCCCACGCAGCTCGCACTTCTCCCAGAAGGCCCTGTTTCTTTCCCTGATTGACGTATCCAGAAGGAAGTGGGATTTGAGCTGGACAGTGAGGGGCAGGCCCGGGTGGACCCACAGTTGAATAAATGGAGCTGAGCTTGGCATTTTCCTGGTTGGCCAAGAGCAAGCCAGCAACGCCGCAGGAGTGGGCTGCTCTCTTGTGAGAAGAGCTTGTCGGGGGCGAGGGGCTGGGGACGACGGACAGCCTGTGGTCGGGGTGGATGCAACCTGGGGCAGGCACGGGGTACAGGGGGCGCCCTGCTTCACGGCAGGAGGACTAGCCTCTTTCTCTGGAAGAGAAAAGTGCGACCACTGCCCGGTGGCATGGCTACCAAACCAGGGTCCATTTGCCAGCGCTCTGGGCGCGCAGGGGCAGCCGGGTGCAGGATCGTGGGCAGGGACGGGGAGCCCAGACCCTGAGACACGAAACGGCACATCCGCGCCCTGCAAGAGCCTATTCGGGG